AATGGCTGTCAGGGAAAGTTAGTGAATTCTTTTTAAAACATTGATTAGATGAAAGTTTGGCTACTGTTGGAGGGGAAATTAAAAGCACGAAACCCAAGGTATCGAGAAAAGTATCGTAACTGCCTATTTTGGAAATATTATAAAACCAAGGTCTGCAAAGAGGGCAGGAAAATGTACATTTTGTGCAGCTACGCGTGGGAAGTATGACTACGAATGCAAATTTACGCGACATATTTTCAGCATTTCTGCCTTATTTAGTTGCCCTCCTAGATGAGAACTCTATTATGTGAGGTGCAGGGTGACATGCGCGAGAGTCGAGTCAACGAGGACGACTGCTGTATCGCAGTGATCTGGCGACAGGACTGGTTAAAACAACTAGGAGATTAGATTTGGTGCAACGGTAGATAAGATATTCTCCCGTCCTATGCGTGGTGGACATAAGATCTTTCATCCCTAACCAGAGTAGGCGTCATTCAGTCATAATAATGGCCATAGAGGACAAAGAAAGTATTACGCGCAGCCCGGGACTTGTTCTCGTGAACCGAAATGTGCCGCGCGTGGGACGCCTTCTGAACCACAGTTAGGACTCCACTGTGGTTTAAATGGGCGTCAGTTTCGGTGCAGTCAGAAACGGTTCTTAAGTGAGTTAAATGAACTGTGCTAAAGCAAGCATAATAGTTTCAGCAGTTTTGCCTAAAGAAGGTCGGTGGGGCGGGTGATGGATTAGGCAAACATTCAAACATAAATATTAGGGCAACACATGGAGACGTCAGAATATTCAAGAATCACACAGGAGGTTGAACAAGTAAGCTATTTATTCAGTCAATCTAAGCCCAAAAGGTGACAATCAACCTAACAGGCCTAAACGGGACCACTGGTGCATGCAGCAAGTAAAGGGAAAAAAATACGAATGCGAATTAAAAAGGCTGACCTTTGTGTGAAAGCGTTTCGCGTTTTTACCTAAAGAAAAAAACATTAAAATGAACGAAACGAATTTAAGGACTACACAAGTTAGGACTACTACTCTGTAAGAGTATAATTTTTGATTGCAAACTGAAATTACAAAAAATGCAGTGCGTTCGACGGAGTAGGCTTAGGTTCCTTCATTATAAGTAGTTGTAGCCCTCTAGGAAAGGTTTAGCTCAGGCATGTTCTATGGTCAGAATAGTGAATATTCGGGTGCAAAGGGATAATTAATCAGATTTTTTAATGAAATGTAAGAAACCGCCTCGGAAACTGGTCATCGGCAAAATTCAGAATATTGATTAACAGCGAGGTCTCAGAATACTTAGGTTCTTAATATTTTGTAAATAGGTAAGTCTACCTGAACCCAGGCATATGTTTCATGTACGAGAAATAAAAAAAAGAAAACTGATCGAGCACCAGAACGATTTAGTGATGTTTTCAACCTTTTGAACAGATAATTATGATAGCATAGACGCGTACACCGATCTGTCAGAGGACCCACTCTTCTTCCTAACTCGTACGTACACAAGGAATTTTCAAATTTGCCTTAATTCGTTTTGCCATATAGCAGTCATCGCCCATAAATGGCTGAAATTTAGGAAGATGGTATACTCAGACGGCGAATTGCACCAAAACGTTATATGTCCATTGAAGTGCTCCCACACGGCAGCACAGTGCATTTTTTACACAAGAAATATGCGGATATGGGATATTTGGACAGGAGAAAATTGAAATGGCAGAAAAGTTCAAGGGGTAGACTTGCGTTAATGCGAGACAGGGGTTCGCCGTTTTTCAGAGCGCAAGCTTCGCGTGACGAACGAAAGAAGCTAAATGCCACAAATCGTGGGGATAAAAAAGTAAATAAGGAGATCGAATACCTGTGGTTGATCCAGTGTGGAACGATGTAACTTTTGCCTTGGAAACCTGGTTTCTGGCTATCTCGACACTAAAGTAATAAAATGAAAGGTAGCAGTTAAAAAGCTACACAATTTTGGTGGATATGTGAACTAAGTTCAGTCAGAGTAAACAGGATTTCATGCTGAGTTAAAGCTTAGAAATATGGTTTGATTATGCAAGTTTTATGGATTATGTGGAATAAGGCGAAATTCGTAGAATACTTCGGAGAACCAGAAATTCAATTAATGTTCGATAAAATTACTACTTCCTCGTGAGTTAAAACTATCGCAAGCTGTATTTGTAAAAACTTGATGAGCAAAGTAATAACACCGAAATCCAGACAAGGGACTTACAACCAACAGAGGTACAGCATGGAGAGGTTGCGTGCCCAGACATACCAAATCAACCGTCACGCCTAAAAAATGCAAGCATGGAAATACAAAGCCACGGCCGCCTTCCTCGTAAGAGCAGTATAGAAGTAGGAAAAATAGAACCCGGAACAGATTAATTAAAAACGCGACCTTGTCGGGCCTGAAAAACTTGGGAGAACTTTTTTCTAATTAAGTGTTCTGTGATTAAAATTAACAGCTTGAGTCCAGAAGGAAAAGCTGATCAGCCGGAAACAAACAGTAATGCAATACTAGGCAGCCGAGACGAAAACAGTCTTCAACAACTAAGGAAATACGTAACAATGACTTACACGTTAAATGAACTACCAAGGAGCGGTGTGATGCTTAATCTATTTAGCGAACGAGAGGAAAATTAGTGATCTAATGTACTTTAAAAAATAAGACTGGAGAATCAGTAAGTTAACCGCTTCGTCAAAAAGTGTACGAGGAACACTTGTGTCTTTTTATAAGTTCTTTGGTACGTGAGCAAGTTAATTCGTGAAAAAGTTAGTTTGAGGAGAAAAATCAAGTCCTAGACAATACGAGCATAATTTATGATGAAAATGTTAACAAGTTTAGCATTTTTTTTAAGCTGATCAAGTAGGAGAAGAATTTGGGATAGGTCACTTACCTAAATCGAGGCTCCGTTGTTTTGAAAGAGATATAAGATCACGGCTAGCATCGAAGACGCCAGACCCTGGTGTAACAATAACACAGACCTTGCCCGTCCGATCGAAATTTCGGTCGATATTGTATTCCTCATATACTTAATGAGGGAAATTTGAATTGCGTGAATGGAAGGAATGAGATACCTACGTGTAAGCGTGAGATTAAGGGCTTCTAAGACGTTGCCTTCCCTGGCCGGTGGCAGCCGAATGGTTACATCTTGGGGGTATTTTATGTCTTCTAGAGTCGAGAGAATATACTGCCGAAGTTCGGACTGAAAAATTCTGAACTCCAGCAACAACTGAGTCAACGTCCGCCGCCATTCCTCAGGTGTAAACCGCTCGTTTTGCACGAGGACCCTGCGGAAAATTAATGCAAATAGTATTTCAATTCCAAAAAAGTACACCTCGTGAAGTCTGTTTCATAAGTCTCGTAGTTAAAATATCCGACACTACAGCTGAGCTAATTTGAAAAAAAAATTGTCCAGCTTATGCGTAAAACGTGCCGGACACCTTTCTTAAACGGTTTCTGAGATGGGCGGGTTAAACTATGTCGATTAGATATGCAGGGCACTTCGTATCGATTAAAAAGGTGAGTGGCATAAATTCTTAACGAAAAATGGTACGCTCTAACTACCGATCATTAGAAATAAGTCCCTCTTCCTAAGTCAATTTTTTCCCAGTGATCTTCAAAAAAAGAATTGAGTAAAATGGCCAGTATGTCTGGCTGTCAAGCAAAACAGAAGAAGACTGAAATAAAAAGGGCATATACTTACTTATAAAAATCGGTGTAGAGTTGGCCTTTTTCATCTTTGCAGATCACTGTTTTATTCAGCAAATCAGCTATCCGAAGGTCTGAAAAAAAGGCAATATAAGTAAAGAGGGAATCATGACAAGGACCGTTTTTTAAAGATTCCATAATCATTAGGACTCACCTTCCGGATTTAAATTAACATAAATTCTGCTGAAGAGGACAAGAGTTACATCGTGGACACAATTTGACTCCTATGCGACAAATAAATTCCAGAATATTCTTACCGTCCATCGATTCAAAAACAATTCTCGTAAAAATTTCACAGCCTTTTCGAAATACAGATCCCCGAATTCATCAAAATTCCACATTTCATTGCTCATTTGAATGAATAAATGAATAACTGCTGTGTTCGAACGGAACACCACCTGAAAGTAAGGAGCGAGCAAAGGTTAATACCTTGGTTTGATTTGAGACGTAACCGCATGAGGCTGGTTCACCCTTACGCCACAACTCACTGATATGCCCTCTAAAACGAGTAAGAAACATAGCATCCGTACCGCATTACTCCAAAGTCAATTTTTTTGTTGAGTTGGACAATCGAGTTAGTCTGGAAGTAAAATATAAGAAAGAATGCGTGTGTCTACAAGCATCCTTGAAAATTCCACGAGGTCACGTCGACTAAAATACTGATCGCGGATGTGTAGTTCCACTAGATCCAAAAGGACATCCTTGAGCGGAAAATTAAAAAAATGATCGCGTAACTAACTTGTTTCTTGACAATTCTAACAGAGACTGTCTTATATAACTGGAGC